CGAGGTCCTCAAAGCGGGGGGCTGGGATGTGTAGGTAGGAATTTAGGGTTGCTCTGCAGTTCCCCTGGGCTATGAAACTGGCAGATGTGGTATCAAAAATGGGCAAATGTAGGCTCCTTTGCCAGTAACTTTCTCGGTGACCTCACAGCAGCCTCTTGGCACTGCAGGCCTCAGGTTCCATGTGGGTGGACTGACTATAAATGGCCGCGCTGTGGCTGTTCAGTCCTGCACCCCTCTGCCTTTTCCAGGAAGAGCACACTTCTGTTTCTGGTCCTCCCTGCTTCCCCCTTCTAGCCCCCCAGCACTCAGCTTCTCTTTTAGGAAGGCTCACCCCTTTGGTAAAAGTGGAAATGCCTGTATCAGAGCTCATAGTAGTGTGTATTGGTTCAGCCACATGTGTGAGAATCTGCCAAAGCCCTAGTTGTCACTGGCTTTGTTAACCAGGACAGACCCTGTAGAACTATCACTTCATTTCATTGTGGTGCAAACTTACACATTTCCCAAACTGGGGCTCTCTCTTCTCTGTCCCCAGAGTCCTGGCTCCAGGCTCAGGGGCTTGGCTTGGACCATCACCTCAGCCTCCAGCCTCGACCCCTCCATCCATCCCTCACATACCTATCTGGCCTTGTTAGTCCTTCCAACCCCTTAAAATCCCTCTGTGGCTCCCTCAAAATAAAGTCTATGCCATTAACATGGCATTTCTCTACCTATCACATCACATGGCACTATACACTGCACAGTGTGGTCAGGGTCCCCAAGGCCAGCGTCAGGTTCAGTGATTAGCTGGAAGGACTCACAGAGCTCAGCAAAGCTATTAGACTCCACATTATGCCAAAAGGAAAGAGATTTAAATCAGCAGAGCTAAGAGGTGCATAAGACAGAGTTGAGGAGAGACCATATGAGCTTCTAGTTGTCCCTTCCTGTAGAGTCGCATGAACAGCACTTAACACTCCCAGAAACAATGTGTGACAATGCACGTGGTATATTAGCCACCAAGCTCACATGAGCCTTGGTGTCCAGGATTTTTATTAGGAGTCGGCCACATAGGAGCATCTCTGTGACTGTACCTTGTTACTCAGTCTCCAGCCCCTGTGGAGGTCAAGCTGTTACCATGTGGCCCAAGTCCTCACCAGAAAGACCTCCTTCATTGGGCAGGATACTCCAAGGGCTTGGAGGTTATCTTGCAAGAGCCAGGCAAGCACCAGTCCTTTCTTTGGAATGGGTAGAGTCTGCACAACCCAGGCCTACTGAGCCAACCCTTTACTGTACCCACATGTACACAACTCCCTCCAGCCAAATCTCTTAGCAACCCAGAGATAGCTGCTGATTCAGCCGCTTTCTGCCTTCACCCAGGCCCTTTCCCTGCCAGTACAGCCCCTCTCCTCCTCTGGCTTGACCCCGAGTCCTTCAACATTTAGCCCAGGCATCAGCTTCCCGGAGCCCAGGCCTCAGTGACAGACATGTCCCTGCCCCCATGGCATGTGGCCCAGCCCTGTGGCTGCCTGAGCCCTGGAACTGAAGCTGATGTTGTGGAATCTCTAGCTGCCTCGAGGGCAGGGCCCATGGCGTAGGTTACCTTTCTGGACCTCACTCTTCTCATTTGTAAAAAAGAGCTGCTTTTAGGAGTGAGTGAGCAGTAAAACATCTGAGCACATAGCACAGGACTGGATCAATGTGTGTTGGCTGTCAGTAGTTCCCTGCCCTCTGTGGTATTGGAAACAATTGAGGCATTAAGTAAACGGTGAACCTTTAAACCAGACAAGCCCCCACAGAACATTGTTTTTCTTATAGTTTTTTAATAGCTTTTTATAAATGCTCTTCCGGGGAAATTCAGCTCCAACTTATTAATAGCAAAAGGTCTTTTGATCTGAGGTCTTGAGAGCTGAGACACATAGGTATAGCTGTTTGGGGGCTTTTGGCTGCTAGCAGGGACAACCCCAGCTTGACGTGGCCCTAGAGGGAGGAGGCGTGCTCTCTGACGAGAGAAGGGGTCTGTTGCACGCAGGGCATCCAGTCATCTTGGGGGCTCAGACACTTGATGTGGTAGGAGCAAGACCTTTCTCAGAAGGACCCCTGGAGGAGCTTTGTAAAAATAGGAAGACTGGGATCCTGCCCCCAGAGAGACTGTATTCTTGCCCTGGCAGCAGTGTGCATTTGAACCCTCCCAGGTGGTTCTGCTGGGCAGCCAGCTGAGGTCTGCCGCCGGGGTCATCCCCCCAGAGCACACAACTGTGCATAAGGAGGCCATGGGGACGGGGCGGGGGTGGCAGGGAGAGCTGCAGTTGGTTTCCTTTGACTCAGAGGGGATTCCCTGAGGGCACTTTGAGAAATGAAAGTGGGCCTGAAGAAAGGAGAGGGAATTGGAAACACTTGTGGGTGTCTTCTCTGGGCCAGGCACCTGGCTTCTAAATTGTGACCTTGCTTATTCTTCACATTGGGAGAGGATTGTCCTCCTCCTTACAGGTGGGGAAACTGAGGCTTTGGGAGGCTCAGGAATAACTTGCCCCAGGACTCCCAGCTAGTTAGTGGCAGAAGCAGAATTCAAGCCCAGAGGTTTACATCTGGAGACCCAGCTTTGTGCCTGAAAACAAGGAGGTGTCTTGCAGCTGTTTTGGATGAAGGGAAAATAAGATATGAGGGTGCTGGGTGGAAGCTAGGGCACCGCGCAGTGGCCACACCACAGAACAGGGTAGGTTGCCCTGTCACCAGATGGACCCGTTTTTGTTCACATAGAAATAAAGAGGGATTTGCAGTGCAAAGACCAGGGTTCAGGGCCCACCATGGGGTGAGAGCGGACAGGTCGCCTCAGACTGAGCCTCTCCCTGAACTGCGTATGGGTCCGCATCCTGACTTCCCTGTGGATGGTTTGCAGGTGGCTGAGAGTCTGGATGAGGAGAGTGTGCACAGCCCAGGCGGGGCCCACCAGCTGCCCGGGAACCCCCTGGTCTCTACATTGGCTGCTTTGTCACACAGCCTGAGCAGCGGCAGCCCACCATGAATTCATGTTAACCTTGAGGTCAGCCATGACCCCTAGGTCTTTTTCGTGAGAACTTCATCACAGCTGGGTGTTCACAGCCCTGCCTGTGCTTCCTTCTCGTTAGTCCCCAGCTTCCAGAGGCCCTCCTGCAAAGTGCGTGCACGTGGCGGCAATGAGCACCTCGGGTGCGCGGCACATGTGGTCCGTGCTTCAGTGCAGCAGCTGCGCCCCGCCTTTCCTGATGAGGGAACTGAGTCTTGGAGAGACTTGCTGTCCCTTGTTTGATATCAGAGTCCTCAGGAGTCACCGGGTCACACATCTGTCAGACACTTTCTACTTCCCAATTCTCAAAATGGTCACCAATTTAGTGGCTTAAAACAATGCAAACTTGCTCTAACAGTTTGAGGTCAGAAGTCCAAAATCAGTCCCGCTGGCTAAAATCAGTGTGTCATCAGGGCTGGATCCTTCTGGAGCCTCTAGGGGAGAACTGGTTTGCTGGCCTTTTCTAAGGCTGCCCACATTCTGTGGCTCGTGGCCCCTCTCTCTGTCTCCAGAGCCAAGGTGCGCCACTCTATTCTGCTTCCCTCAGCACAGGGTCTTCTCGTCAGACCTTCCTCTGCCTCTGTTTTATAAGGACATTCATGATGACATTCTGGGCCCACAGTTTAATCCAGGATAATCTCCCCTGGCATCTGAAGGTTCTTTTGCCACATACAGTAACATATCCCAGGTTCCAGGGACTAGGATGTGGGCATTTTGGGAGGGCCACGTCTCTGTTGTGGCCTCCCACGCCGACTCCACTGGGAACTGTTTAGTGCTACCGCTGCCTGCAGGGTGAGACTGAGCCCTCAGACGCTCCTCCAGGCCTGGTGACGTCTTTTCCCCGTGCTGCTTTCCAGCCCTCTTTCTCCAGAGTTCTTTGTTTCCCTTACAAGCCGTGCTCGGTGTTTGACCATTTACCTAAAAACACCTTTATCCAGCATGCCTTCTTGACCCTTTCCTCACCCACCAAGTAACATTTTATTTTCCAGCCAACAGATGGCTGTGCTCAGGTTTTTCTCAGAAATTACACAAATCCAGTCACCTTAAACTGAATGGGGACATGCTGGCTCATGGAGCTTCTGGGGAAGATGATGGGGCCAGTAAGCGCAACTAGGTTCTTCTGAATGTGCTCTGTCTCCCTTTCTCCTTTGCCCTTCTCTCTAGTGGTAGCCCCCTGTCTCCAGCTGCAGAGTGCTGAATCCCCCAGGTGTGCATCCTCCGCCCTGCACCTGCAGGTGAAGGAGGCCTCTTCCTCTGGAGGGAAATCCCAGGGCAGGTCTATGGTTCTTTGCCTCTGGTTTTGTCTTCTTGAGCCAATCACTGTGGCCAGGGGCACCCAGCACTCTGAACACTTGGGTCTCATGCCCACCCCTGGGTTAGAAGAAGGGTCCAGCATGCCTTCCATCCTCCTAAATGGTGAGTAGTGTGCACAGAAGGGGCCTTTGATGCCCAGGGCCCTGCAATACAGCTCAGCTTCCAGGACTCATCTCTGAGGTCCAGAAGGCTGGGCAGAGCCCCCTGGACCAGTCCACACACACACACACACACACACACCGCTTACAGCCAGCAGGGGAGGCTGGGGAGCAGGTCCTAAAGGCATCGTGTGTGTGCTTCTAATCCTGCTTGCCAGAAGTGCCTCCCATCCGACCTGCTCGGGGGCTGGGTCAGCGTGGGTGCCTGCTCTTCAGCCATCTCCTCAGGACCCCAGGTGCCCCCTTGTGCTGGCCATGGCCTTGCACATCCCCAGCACGTCTTGATCTGAGCCCCTGACCCCAGGGCATGGGCTTGTGCTTCTGGATCCTTTTTGCCTAGTTTAGCAGGGCCTGGGCAGGTTACCCAGCAGGAAGAGGCAGGGTGGCCGCATATTGTCACTGTCCAGTCCCGCCGCCCTCCGGAGCCAAGCTCCATCATGCCACTGAGTTGCCTTTCCCAAACTGCCATCTGATATGTCACTTGTTTGGCTTTAAACATCTTCCCAAAGGTTGCAGAAGCCAACAGATTTGCTTTGAGAACCAGAGTAGCTGCTGCCACCTGAGTCTGGAACCATGAGTGGGTTTAACTTTGGCGGCACTGGGGCCTCCACAGGTGGGTTCACATTTGGAACTGCAAAGACGACAGCAGCCACACCAGCCATCGGCATTTCTTTCTCTACGTCTGGCACTGGCGGGTTTAATTTTGGGACTCCTTCCCAGCCAGCTGTGAGTGCCCCTTCCACCGGCCTGTTCTCACTTACCACCCAAGCTCCAGCAACGCAGACCCCGGCATTCAGTTTTGGAACCACAGCTCCTGTTGCAGGCGGAACGGGGTTTTCCTTAGGGATCAGCACTCCAAAGCAAGCCTTGAGCAGTGCAGCCTCCGCCCCAACCACTGTGCACCCTGGCGGCTTCGGGCTGGGCAGCAGCACCCTCAGCAACGCCGTCTCCAGCACCGTCACCTCCACCCAGGGCACAGCACCCACTGGCTTTGTGTTTGGCTCTAGCACCACGTCTGCTGCTCCATCCACGACCCCCGGCGGGTTCTCATTCACAGGTGTGAGCGCACCCCAGCCTGGGGTCTCTGGTTTCAGTCTTGGCTCTGTGGGCACTTCCACCCAGTCCACAGCACTTGCCGGGTTGCCCTTCACTCCAGCCACTCCGGCAGCCACTGGAACAGGAGCCACGCAACCAGCTGCTCCTGCACCCACTGCTACCACCACCAGTGCTGGGCCCACACTCTTTACCTCACTAGCAACTGCCCCAACATCGTCCTCTACCACCGGGCTCTCCCTCTGTGCCCCAGCAACCACAGCAGGAGCTGCTGGAGCTGGAACCCTGGGCTTCAGCTTAAAGGCCCCTGGGGCGTCTTCTACCGCCTCCACAGCAGCGTCCACCACCACCACCACCACCTCCTCCTCCAGCTTTGCCTTGAATATAAAGCCGCTGGCAGCAGCTGGGATCCCCAGCAACACACAGGCTGCCGTGACCGCTCCACCTGGCCCCAGTGCAACCACAGGGCCATCTGCCAGTCCTACAATGACCTATGCTCAGCTCGAGAGTCTGATTAACAAGTGGAGCCTCGAGCTGGAGGACCAGGAGCGACACTTCTTGCAGCAAGCCACGCAGGTCAATGCCTGGGACCGCACGCTGATCGAGAATGGGGAGAAAATCACCACCCTCCACCGCGAGGTAGAGAGGGTAAAGCTGGACCAGAAGAGGCTGGACCAAGAGCTTGACTTCATCCTTTCTCAGCAGAAGGAGCTAGAAGATCTGCTAAGCCCACTGGAGGAGTCAGTCAAGGAGCAGAGCGGGACCATCTACCTGCAGCATGCCGATGAGGAGCGCGAGAAAACCTACAAGCTGGCCGAGAACATTGATGCGCAGCTGAAGCGCATGGCCCAGGACCTCAAGGACATCATCGAGCACCTGAACACGTCTGGAGGCCCTGCGGACACCAGTGACCCGCTGCAGCAGATCTGCAAGATCCTCAACGCGCACATGGACTCACTGCAGTGGGTGGACCAGAACTCGGCCCTGCTGCAGAGGAAGGTGGAGGAGGCGACCCGGCTGTGCGAGGGGCGGCGCAAGGAGCAGGAGCGCAGTGTCCGCATCACGTTCGACTGAGCTCCAGCACCTTGGGCTGTGGGGGATGGGGGGCGCCCAGGTATTGCCCAGTTGTGTTGTAGTGAAATCTTTCTTTGTAATGATTGTACTATTGAGAGAACTGTTCTGTGGCTTGGCTTTCCCATTAGAATAGAAGATATTGGAGTGCCCTGGGCCAGGCACTGAAGTAGGTGTGGTTTCTCTGTGTATCTTTTATGTCCTGTGACTGCCACCCACCCCATCCTTCTCACTGCAGTCAAGTACTGATGCCCCGAGAACCATCCCGCCTCCCAGCTGGGGTTTGCTGGGTGGCCACTCTGTCGTAGGTGCCTTGAACAAAGACTAAAGTTAAAAGAATCTCAGTCCTCGAAGAGATGCAGCCTGGTATGTGGAAATTCACCACCAGTACCAAGGCTTGACTTGTGAATAGAACAGACAGTGGGATGTAGCGTTTCAGAGGAGGAAGGATAGGTCAGCAAGGGACTTGAACAGGGTGTTGAGAAAGGACAGGCTCGCACCAGAGTCCTTCCCTTTGCCAAATTGACACCCCTCCTTGGCCTCCAAAGCTGGGTCAGATCCATACACCACACTGAGCTTACCTCTGGTAACCCTTGCTATGTTGTATTGTGCCAACTGTTTGCTCCTCTGCCTGCCATTAGGTTGTGAGCCCCTGTGGGCAGGGACTATTTCTCGTTCTGTGTCCTCAGCACAGTTGCTGTCACATTTTTTTGAAAGAATGAGCAGTGGAGATGAAACCCAGCATAAAATGCTAGTCCACAGGATGCCGGCTGACATCACCACGGAGGCAGCCACACGCTCATTCTGAACTTCCCGATGCCAAAGCAGACCGAGTCGGTTAGAGCAAGCTCCATGGTGCCCAGAGGCAGGGGCCAGCCAGCGAACCCCAACTGTCTTCTGCATCTGTCTTAACACTTTGCTGCACTCTGAAACCCCTGTGACTATGTTGCTTTCCTAAATAAAATTCATCTGTGGAACAAAAAAACTGCCTTTAATTTGGAAAATGTAGAAGGTTGAGTGAAAAGAACAGGTTTCAGAAAACTTATATTATCAAATGGGATGCTGTTTGGACTCAAACAAGCAAAAGCAATGGTACACTGTTAAGGCACACACACATGCGCACATACGTGCACAGGTTTGTGTCGTGCGTTCCTCTGGTGCTGACGGCAGAAGAGGAACACATGGGGGACCTGTTAAAGGTGATGTCCTTAGTTAAATCTCACAATACACATAAACGCCAAGTCACCTGTCACCATCCCTGAGGCATTAGCTCAGTGGCCCCGGGGGCCATCAGCAGCACTTCCCCCCTCACCTGGGCCTGGCTGGAGGGTTCTGGTTGTGCTTCAACAGTGGAGGACAGGTAAAGCTGGGATGTAAATTCCTGCCGAATGATTGCCAGATACCGGCTGCTGTCCTGTGTCTGCCCTCAGCCTCTGCCACACTGAGCCCTCATTTGGCTAAGGAGTGCCAAAAGCTTGTTCCTGGAGATTTACGGTCCAGTTTCCCAAAGCTGTGATCATGAGTCATTTCCTTGCATCTTGGGCTGTCAGGGACACGTGTCCTGTCCAAGCAGAAGCCATGGTAGAAGGAAGGGAACCTAGAGGAGGGAAACCCCAAAAACCCTACAGCTTCTCTCAAAGCTCCCCCCATTAGAGTGGCCCTTAGTGCAACCAGAGGCTTGTCTTCTAGGACCCGTATCTGACCCCTCCAGGGAGGGGAGATGAGAGGAGGGAAGAGACATGGGGCAGCCTGAGTTCCCTTAGAAAGTAGGAAGTTGTTTGTATTTTACCTACATTTATCTATCCAGCATCCATTATTGGAGCCCCTGCTACAGGCCAGATGCTGATCCGCCATTGGGATTATGAAGACGGAACAGTGTTTCTCTGCCCACAGGGAGAATCGCTGGCAGGGCCCATACGTGATACAATTTTTCAACCTACTCCGCCTGTCTGATGGCACAGCCTAGGAGGCCTACGGATGGATGCGGCACAGCGGGCCTCCAGAGGGAAAGCTATGGGTATCTCTTCTATTGCTTCATTTGACTACTCCCCTAGATTCGAACAGCCGTCAGGAATCAGAAAAAGCCCCTAGAGAACGGACTGTTGGGAGCCGTAGAGCAATCATAAAAACCCAGCTAGTGTCCCTGCACTTTCCCCTCAGGCCGATGGGTTAATATCCCTGGGCTGGGAAATAGAAGAAAGTGCAGGTGACTTCGGGGTACAACTCCCAGGCCAACTTGGCCCCCAGGAGAAACAAGATGACCAACATGGGGTGTGGGTCAGGAAAGCAGGCGGGAAAATCTTGGTAGAGTTCCCTTCTGAATCATTACTATAGAAATTACCGTACACATTGTTACAGTCAAGATCAATAGAATGAGTTCTGCTCATTCGACTGTAAATGGTTTCAGGGAACTATGGAAAAACATGCCCCCACAGCGAGCCTAGGTGGGAGTCCGGGTAATTTAAGACACATTCAGAAGACATTGTGGTGCCTTGTAGAAATTTAACCTGAGATTATAGAGCAACAAAAATCTTGAGGAAAGGACCATAATGACCTTTCCTGGTTGGGAAAGCAGGGGAACATTCCGAGAAATAGATTATGCCATAAATCACCTAATGACACATGCTTTATGATAATTTTACAATTACTTCATATAACCAATCCCTTATATATTGCTTGAAGTTTCTGACAATAAACAGGCCAGCTTAGCATCTGCTAGTGTCTGTGTCCCTCGCCGATCCCATTCCTCCTTCAGGGACCCCTGGACTTGCTGAAGCCAGACTCCAACAGCTTTCATTTCTAATGTATATACCTATTATTTTGCATACTAAATAGTAAAGCTTAACTGCTTCCTTATACTTGTATTTTAAAAATAAAATGAAGTTCTATTCCCATACCCCAGGGGATCTTGGACACCCCACTTTTAAGAACATGAGCGATTATAATAAATTGGGATTTAGCTAATAAACCTGCGAGAGGAGTGGCAGCAATGCTCGGCACTGTGGGGGAAATGATTCCAGCAGGCTTCCTGGGGGAGTCATGGGTTCCCTAAGATTGCAACAGGCTCAGCAGCTGACTGGGTGCCTCCCTGCTGCTGATGGCTTCGTGGTAATTGCAGTTTCCCTTTCCAGGAAGAGAACTGATGTGCTTCCCTGCCAAACCCAACAAATGGCCTCTACTTAATTCCTCTTCATTAATTCATATGAAAACAACAAATGGGACTAAATTTGGAATCAGAGACTTTTAAAGGTGAATCTCCTTAATAAGCTCTTACTGCATTTCTCCCTGTTTAGGGGTAAGAGTGGTAATCGGATTTATGGTTATGCAGTGCCTTTAATCACAAACCCTCAAACGACAGCCTCCCTTACGACCCAGCCCCTTCCCCAAGCTGATGCCCCTGCCTTGTCAGGAGCACAGCTTGGCATCAAAAGGAGCAGATGTTTGAAACGGCTTTCCAGAGCCAGAAGAGCCTTGCCTCTCCTAGGGGAGAGTGAAACAATGGGATCCCAAGCAGGGCTGTGCTGGCGGCTTTAACAGTGGGCTCTCCTGGGTGTGGAGAAGCCCTGATGGGTCGTATATGCCAGTCCCCACGGTGTCAGTACTCCCACCACGGCTGATTTCAAGCCACCAATGTGAAGTCACCAAACACACATTTTGGGAACTTGATGTGTACTGACAATGAATTCACCTCAAGAATATACATCTAATAATACAATGTAATCAAATAATTAGGAAGTGATGAGTTTTGAGTATTAGTGTTTAATAAAATTAATCATGTTTATATTTTAACAATGGCTTGCAAAGCCAAACCAGAAAAAGATCCTGAAAAATCAAATTCTTGTTGCATGGGATGGGGAGGGAGAAAATGTAAATGTGACACGATGTTCTAACCAGCGATGAACATGCTTGGGTTTTTTTATATACGTTTGAAATCTTCCATAATAAGCTTTTGAGAAGGGAGGACCTGGCCTCCACAGCCTGCCAACTGCTTTGACCCCACAGCAGGACCCTGGCACCTCTGTTCTAATAAGGGAATCAGGATAAAGCCCCCGTTCACCCCGGTTCCTCACACGCCCAGTGGCTTCTGTCGCAGGCTAACCAGCAAGGCCATGGGCACTGAGAGAGCCCCCCACAGCCAGCCATGCAGTGAGTGCCCTCCCTGAGGCCTAGGGGTTCTGAAAACAAAGGAGGAGGGGCCCCCTGTCTAGGGGTCAGGCAGAGATCAAGGGCTTCAGGTAAGTCTATCCTCTGCTCTCTGCTCCTCTCCCCCATCCAGTTCTGTACCCCTGACTTCCACCTGGGGGCCCTGGGTAGGCCCTGCCCCTCTAAGGCCCAGGGAAAGTTTTCATACCAGCCACTCAGGGGCTTTGGGCCAACTCAGGTAAAAATATATCTAAGGCCCCGGCCCTGTCCTTTGCACATCTGTGACTGCCCTCGCTGAGCCAGGGGGCCAGGGCCAGGCCTCTGCCTGCTCCTGACATGGCCTAAACCCCCTTAAAGCTGTCATCAGGACTCTAGAAGCAAACCAAATTGGGTAGGGTTTTCTCCCTAAAGGATTGCCATTGTTGTCTAAAAATCTGATACCCCAAATCACCTACAGCGGATACAGAGAAGTCCCGTCTGCCCCACCCCCAGTTCTCACTCACTACTTGTCTCCTGTCTCCTACCCATGAGCTAGGAGCGCTGGCCTGGCCCCAGCCTCTCTCCTGACCTGTCCCACCCCATCCATACCCTCACCCCAGCCCTGATTCCTGTCTCTTTAACATCGTCAGGAATGAGTCCGGGAGGTCTGGTGGTTTCTCCAGAGCAATCCCCAAATCGCAGCCTCCTGACCCCAGACCAGCTCTGCTGTGTGTCCAGCTCTTGTCCTGTCAGCTGTACCCAGGGCTCAGTCCTGGACCCTATCTGGCACCCTCGGGAGTTCCTCCCAACACTTACCAGCCCTCGCCCAGTGGTTCTCAGCCAGGGAATTTTGGCCCCCCTTCCCCTAGGAATGGTTGAGAGTATCTGGAGACGTTTGTGGTTGTCAGGCCTTGAGGAGCAAGTGCTCCTGGCATCTAGCGGGTAGAGGCTAGTAATGCTCAACATCCCCAAAGACGTCCCCAAAAGTCCACGGTGCCGAGGCCAGGAGACCCTGCCCTGCCCCATCCCTAGTCTACAGGCCTGATCTTGCTGCTGATGGGAAGTGATTAAAGTCACCGGCTGCGATCAAACACAGAGTGTGCCACCGTTTAGCTGGTGACTTATCTCAGCTTCCTCCACTGTAAAATGGGAACAGCTAAACCCACCTTGTCAGAGTTGTCTGGACTAAATGAAGTAAAATGTACAAAGTATCTAGCACATGGTATTAACCAGACCCCCCAGTCATGTCCTCAGAAGCAAAGCGATTGGTCAGGCCCTGCCTGCCAGGACCCCTACTCCCAGGCACGCCTGCCTCCCAATTCTGGGCAGCCTCTGTGATTTAGGTCCCCCCACCCAAGAGTACTTGACCAAGGTCATATTCCTCTTCCTTAGCCTCCAGGAGGTGAGCAGGGGGTGTGCTCAGAGCCAGGATGATTTTGAACAGCAGTCCTGTGTGAGAGACCAGGGGGTGATTCTGGGACCCCAGCAGGGCCCCCAACAGCCACTCTGGACATAAGCACTCCTTGCACAGACACACCCTGGGAGCTCCTGGGCCCTGCACACCCGCCCCCACCCCTTTCTGCTTCCTTTGTGCGGGACATGGCATGAGGAAATGGGGCAGAGGACCTGTGGGCAGGGGCAAGCCGAACAACCAGGTCTGCTGTTGCCCACTGTGCACCGGCTGGGGCCCTCTGCTCTGTGGGCCAGGATCCCCTCCTCACGGGGAGTCGGGTCTGGGTTCCATGGACAGGGTGCACGTGCGGGGTGCAGCTGCTGTGAATACAGGAAGGCCGGGACATGTCCCTGTGAAGGAAACAGGCAGGCCTTCCTGCCCTCTGGCCTGGGCCAGCCCTGGGGTCCCCC